GAGGGGAGGGGGGAGGGAGAGGGAGGAGATAGAGTAAAAGGGGTCAAATATGTGGTGACAGAAAGAAATCTAACTATGGGAGGTGAACACACAATGTAAATATATATCTGCCTTACTGTTAAAGTATACAGATGAAACTTATTGGATTTCGTTAACCAATGTCACCATAAAAAATAAATTTAAAAAATGAATAAATAAAAAAATAATAAAAATGACAAGTTTTATGTTTATAGGTAGATTTACCACAATTTAAAAAATATACCAAAACCATTGAATTGTACACTTCAAAATGGATGAATTGTACAGTATATAAATTATATCTCAATAAAGCTGTTAAAAAATGATTGTTATTAAGCCAGTGTGGTTATAGTTGAAGAACAGACATAATCGAATGTAAGGGAATACAGAATCCAGAAGCAGATTCATACATACATGTTTCCTTGATTTATGACAAAATTGCCATAGCAATACAGTGGGAAAAGAATTGTCTTTCGATAAATGATGATAGATTAATTGATGTTGCTTTTCATTATAAATTCATATGTGCCACTTGGTTTTAAAGAGTAAGTATGCATTACATTTTGATAAACATTGTTAAATATTAGATTTAAAAAGTATCTGTAGTAGAAAGAAAACTCTCAAGCAAGCAGCTAAGTAAATAAGTAAATAACAAACAAACAAATAAATAAATAAAACACCCTTTGAAGAAGGTTAGCATAAATTAAGCATTGATTAAGTTTATACTACAGTGAAGGTAAGTGAATCTGATTCATGATACTTGTTGAACTGTATCACCTCCATCGTGTTTAAATACTGTTAATATTCACCTGAACACCGAATTAATTACTTCATCCCTTTTCTGGTCTAATTATTTAGAATAATTCATGCAAAGTAATAGTGGCATATATTTTGGCATTTGCTCATTAATGCACCATCCTCCACCACCACTATTTCCATCCATAACAAATTATTCGGCCAAATCAAATGGTCAGGTTAAAAAAAATATCTACACACAAGCCTCCCACCCCCACCCCCACCAATAAAACACCCATGAAGCAAAACAAATATAAACACTTGCGACATTTAACACATGTGACAGGAGAAATGATTAATGTCTAACCTTTATCCACTGAAGATTTGTCTGCTTGAGCTTATTTTCAAGTTTATCTTGCTCTTCTGGGCTTAGGGGAGCACTTACAAGCACTGTTCCTCCAGTTTCATTTAATTGTTTTAGAATTCCCTGGCGCAGGGGCAGCTCTTCTGCCAGTAACTGAAACAGACAAATGCAACAACTTTTAAAATTAATTACAGCACAATGCCAACTACCTTGTCTTTGACTCTATTGATTAATCTATCAAAATGAAGCAACTTGACCAAAGGACTACCGGTACCTCAAATACTAACAGTTTTCTATAGAACACATAGCTGATAGACTGAATCATCCACTAGCAAGTAAATAAAATTATCCTAGAAAGGACCAGGATATCTTATCCCTCAGAGATTTGTCTTTCCAAGAGAAAAATGTCATATGATATCAGCTTTAAAACAACACCCCAAACAGAGTTAAGAGCCTGAAAACATATTTCTATCAGAAATAGAACAATCTGGATAAATTCGTCACCCTCTTAGGTATTAAGCCTCCAAGTAGTAACATATCACTGAATGAGAAATTGCATTATCATATTAAGAAGTAACTAACATTGAGAACACATCAGGTACCAGGCACTGTGCTAATCTCTTCACATCTATTATCTCAATTAATTTTTAAATAATAATTTTATGAGGTAGATTCTATTATCTTCATCTTACATAGAAGGAAACTGAGACAGAGGTTAAATACCAACAGAGAGGTTAAGTACCAGATCCAAGGACAAAAGTAGCAAGTGACAGACCTGTGATTCAAACTTGGGCAGTTTCATTCAAGAATCCTTACTTTTGACTCTTCCATATCCCTGGATTTCTCTTATTCATTCAGCATCAACTTATCAATGCCCTTTCCAAGATCTACAAAACCACTATTATTTTAATAACTGTCTTTTATTCTGCCATTTAGAGCTGTAGTGTCCAATACAGTACCACTAACCACATGAATCTTTTAAAATTTAAATTAAATGAAGTTCAAGAAAATAAAAACTCATTTCCTCATGCACACTAGCTACCTTTTGAGTACTCATAAGGCACACGTAGCTAGTGGTTACTGAAATAGACAATGTAGAACATATCCATCATCATGGAAAGTTCAACTGGACAGTGCTGATCTAGACTGTCTAAGGAAAAAAGAAAAATCAATGCAAATTTATTAATAAGTGAATGCTGCTAAAGATGTCTCTTAAATAGGTTACCAATTATATTGCTATATATGACACTGAATATACTTAGAAAAGACGAATTTTCAAGAACTGAGTTCATTTTTCCATGACATAACCATATTCAAATGACTACAGATTCAAAACTTTTTACTTTTGAACCTCAAATACTTAGAGTAATATCTGACATATAGTAGTACTCATTATTTGTTTACTGAATTAAGCAATAATTTTATTTTTATACTTTTCTGTTCAGGTACAAATTTGTGTCAGAGAAATAAGTGGTTGACCTGAGAGTCAATTTGCACATGTAAACCAACTGAATCATTGATAAAGGAGTAATTCCATTTCCTTTTGGTTGTGTGACCTTGTAAAATGAGGATAATTCCAATCATTTTGAAAGTTTGATATGAAGACTATATAAAATAGCAGATGTAAATATATCTAATGCTAAGTACATAATAGGGAATGATTAAATGTTAATTTCCCTTTCTCATTCATCTTCCCTTCAAGATTTAAAAACAGATGCAAAGTGTCTCTTTCCTAGAACTAAAACCATAAAAGTTAACCCAACTGCACAATTAGAGCCATGCCAGTCAGCCAGATGAGATAATCAGAGATAAGCAGACATGACTGTAGGAAGGCATGAAAAGCAATTTGAATAAACTGGATGTCTATTCAACCAGTACTAAAACGTAAACCAACACCATGACACCCACCACCCTCTCACTCACACAAAAACATTGCTTCAGGCAAACTGAACACTTAATTAGAGGCTGAAAGTAGTTGGATTGATTTGGTGATTAAAATCTTCCCTAAAAAATGAAATTCATTCTATAAAGATTCTTCCTAGTTTTTAAAATAATTTGGAGCTATGAACTTTTCCAATAAGTCTAAAATTAATTTCAAATTAGTTGTAAAAATACTGCCATGCTTTTTACGCACACATACACAC